CTGTCTGACGAGGGTTAGGCGCAAGAAGAAGGTTCGACTGGCGGTCAACACGTCAGCGTCCCGCACACCTTATAAATAAGGCCTTATCTCGGCGCTTCCCGCAGAGAGCCGTATCTCGCATCCCCATCGGCCGCGCACCGCCGCCAGAGCCGCAGCCGGGACCTCACCGGAGCCACCGGAGGGACGGGGCGGGGCGGGGCGGCGCCACCCAAGTGTTCGAACTCCTTTTGAGCAGCGTGTTATCTATGCTCCTGCTCCCGGGCCTCGCAGCCGCCACAGGAAGGGAAAGGGGGTTATGGGATAGACCCTCACGCAAAGGTTTGTGTGCGCACATAATTTTATCCACACAATCCCGCCACCGAGCCCGATTACGCACAATCTACACAGCGAGAAACTGAATCCGGAACAAAAGTGTTGTATAACCTGGTGGCACCTTTCACACACGCAACCAGAAAAATTGAAATTTGTAGCAACCATGGAAAATATGGCTGTTCCAACACTCGCACATGGTTACATCAACGATGGAAATCGTTCTACTTCCTGTTTTTGTTGTTGGTGTTGGCACCACCATGTGCGTGTTGCCACGACCATACTTTGATGGTTACCCCTGGTCCTACCACCATACGGTGATTGCTACAAGTTGTAGTTTTTCTGAGTGTGTCTGGAAACTCATTGTGGCCGATGGTTTTGTCGGCGTGGAGCTCAGCGCCACTGCCCGAGGCGTGCTTCACACATTAACGCATGACAGCCGGCGCACGCTTACTCACACTCGCACATGGCCGTGACACGGACTGGCCGCCCTCTCCACGTCAGTAACGACCTCCGCAACGGCCGTCTGAGTGCCCCCGACCAGGGCCCCACCAACCAGAGCGCTATTGGTCGCGAGGCGCACTGCCCTCGTGTGTTCATTATGGCATACCGCCGGGACGTGTCGGCGGCAGATGCTTCGCTAAACAAAAGGCAAAAAGGGCGAGTCGAAACCGCTGCCTGTTTTGTATTTTGTACAATCGCTATCCATTTCTGGGTGCCTGCCGTTGCGTGATGCAGGCCAACCAATCCCGCGTGCCATGCTGATCAAGCCTTTGTACTTAAAACTGCGTATAACTCAGCTGTAGGGCGAGGTCGAGCACTGCCCGTCATTAATTAAGTTATTATTGTAATGATTATTTCTATGACTATTACTGCAGTACTAACGTGGTCTCCTCTTCTTTGACCCCGCAGGAGTGGCAGGACCACAAGTTCAAATGGGACCCGTACGAGTACGGGGGCGTCACCGAGCTGTACGTGCCGTCCGAACACATCTGGCTGCCGGACATCGTGCTCTACAACAAGTGAGGATAGATCCCCGCCTACTAATGGCTGTTGCGACCCTGTCACGCCCGGCGACGCCCGGTCACGTGTGCACCCCCCACTGCGCCGTCTCGAAGCCTTAGGAAGCGGCGGCGGCGGCGAGCGGGTCGCGCAAACCTCCGCCTCTTTTATGACTTGTGACTTGGCTATATTCCCGCTAATCCGGGAACTCTGTCTCCTTTGACGACTTTGCTTTTACGAGGTCGATTCGAATGGCAGCCCCTGCCCTGTGTGACCCCCCACCCCTCCCCCTCTCACCCCTTGCACGGCCCCGCAGCGTCCCCCACGAGCTGTCCTCGCACCCCGCCCAGCCCGAGGCAAAGCCGGGCCTCCAGCGCGCACGGACTTGGGGGAGCGGAGCGGGCGGACACGTCTCGCAGCGCGGGCGTGCGTGCGTGCGGGGCGGGGGTGAGAGGATGCGCACAGGGCGGAACGGGGAGAAGGGAGGGGAGGGGCTCATTGGGGGCGACTTTGGACAAAATCCAAACAGCCGGCGTCGGACACTCCTCGTTCCACGCTGTTATTTCATGTCGGCCAACACCATCCCCTTTACTCTTTCTGTAGACGCAATATGCGTAGCGTGTAAATTCAAAGTTTACGCGACACCAAGACCAAGACAGGAGTGGGCTGGGCAGATCATTCTCTTGCACTGTGCAGAAAAGTCCGTTCTTACCGCATATATTATCATATATACAAATCCATTTAGACTCTCGGTTCAGGATCTACAACCCCTTGAATGCGTTATGACGGAGGGACGCAAAACGGGAGTCATCAACGTCCAAAGGGCAGAGGAGAGGGGATAGTAATCCTGATTGAATAGAAATATCAAAAGATTGCACGCAAAAAAAATCTGGCGGTAGTGCTAGATTTTTAGCACCGGTGCTAATTTTTTCGTCTGTATAGGCATAGGCCCAGCTAATTTTTTAGCTGTACTCCTACAAGTAGCTAGCTGGAAGATATTAGCTAGATTTACAACAGTCCGTTTGCACCAGTGCTATTTCAAATTTCAAAATTGCTATTTTTTCCCTATTTAAATCATCACAAAAACTGTAAAAAAATAATTTTGGTGATGATTTTATCACAATAATGTGATACTTTTCTCACATTTTTGGGAGTTATCATGCCCTTTGACGTGGGAATCGCAAAACACCAGTTAACGCGTGGTTTTGTATTAAAAGTATCGCAAAACTAGACTCAGTGCTTGCCTTTGTGGAAAAATAAAAATAAAATTAGGAGACATCAGACATCTAAGATGGACGTCCGTCTCCCGTTCCCAGTGCTGGACAGACTAACGTCTGTCGACCCGAAATTTAACTTTTAAGAGGAGCGAAATACCCCAAACACCCAAAGCAATTGACACCCGTAGCAACCATCGAGATATAACGGAGAACTTTAGTTGGTGGTGCCATCTAGCGGAGACCTATAAACTTCTAAACCGAGAGGCGAGAACAGTGTTTCTTGGTGCAGCTTGCACATTTAGCAGTACAGCAAATTGATTAAGCTGGGCATGACACTTCTCGATGGATATGGACTAAGATGCAGACCAGACCGTTTTTGCGACAGCTAATTGAGGTCTAGATCTATAGCTAAACCGACAATCGTGCCCAGCTGAGAACGTTAACTAGCCAGCAAGTATAATTAGCACCGGTGCTAATATGGGCCCGACTAATGACCAATCTTTAGCACCAATCTAATTTTTATTTTTTTCCGTGTGGTCTCAAGATTCCTTACGAAAGGATGTGATGACCAAAATATTAGGTCCACTAGGAATGACTAGATTATGCCCAAAGGTTAAGCATTTCTAACGATGATTCAGCATTTTTTTTTCAAGAGACTTTGCTTGTAAGCAAAACCAAAACAACACAACGATAGTTAAATTAAGATGTTACAAGAAATCAAGTTGCCGCGCGTGCTGACTTGTTTGATGTAGTAAACCGGGTGAACGCCTGCAGTCGGTGGGGTAGGCAATAGCGGCACGTTCCTGTCTGGCGGGTCTGCCTACCTCCCGGCGCCCTTCTGCATCGGGCAGTGCGCCGCGCGCTCTGCATCATCGGTCACACCTTGGCAACTGTCTTCGTGCACGTATATTGCAACGGGCCGACACTGCTTACAGGCGTTTAAGACCCCAGAGGGAAGAACAATTTCAAGCATTCGGGCACGTGGATTTTTGTTACTGGAAAATTTCGGTTGCATTACAAGCGCGCAAGCGCGCGGCCTCCCTCACGTACACGTTTGTTTCGGTTTGGACTAGAAGTCGTCATTCTCTCCCCGTCACGCGACACGTGCGGCGCGCACAACAGGTGCACGGCCCGGCCAGCAATGACTGCGCAATAACGCGCCGAATAAAGTTTGAGAGAAACAACGGTGGGACAAACGCCGCACATCCCACACCTTCTCTGTCTATGGTCTTTCTCAACCCCCCCCCCCCCCCCCCTACTCGCTCTCTCTCTTTATCTCTCTCCCTCCCCTCCACTTTCCCTCCCCACTCTTTGTCCCTCCGGAGCGTCGCTGGCGTGTTTGTATTCCACTCAAGTTGGCATTTTACTGCGCCCCGCCCCGCCGCGCCCCCTCGGGAGCCCCCCGCCTGGTCCGGCCCCGCGCGCGCGCGATGAAGTATTGTATTGCAAAGGACCGCGAAGAGGCGCCGCGCCGCGCGCATCTCAAGTACTTGCTGGCAGTAATAACAATAATAAATCATCGCAATAACAACAAGAAAGGGTCGATAGGCCGGCAGGGGGTCGGCCGCGCGCACTACTGGCCCGCCATGTATTTGTGATGAGAGCCGATATTGTATGTGACGTGCGGTCCGGGCCGGGTTACCTTTCATGGAGGCGTGTTCACGGGCTAATGCCTCTAGGCCTGCGGCCCACCGCCCCCTAGGACGCTCCGCCGCCCCCGCCGCACGCCCCTCGTGCCCGCGTCCTCACCGCCACAGCCCCCGCCTCCCCTACCAACAGAGCCACCGGGAGTCCAGTCACGATCGCCAATGGTTCATTCCTAGTCCCCTGTGCTCCTGGCCCGAGGTCTTTATTCCCAACCAAAACCCCCCAGAGAGGCGGGCTGGGCCGGGCCGGCCGGGGGGGGACACGCTGTGCAGCCAACAAGCAGGCGCCACAAAACGGACAACATTTTTGTTGTAGAAATAAACGTGGTCAATAAGCGGTGAAAAGGCAAGCCTTTTCGTCGGTTTCGCCTTGGTCACCGATACGTACTCCTGCACGACACAGTCACATCATACAGGGTAGGCCACATTCCCCCGATAGTTTCGTAATTATACTGTACCGTCTTCACAACGGCGCCTTATTGCCTCTTGCGAGTGGGCATAGCGTCCTGCATACGGTGCAGTGTGCAGTGTGCGTATTTCATTTACTACTTTTTCCTTCGTTAAGCTTTGGTCGCACTTTCATTACTGAAGTTTAACTGTAGAAGAGTGGCGGGTGAACACTTGGTTGAATGCGCGGTTTAAAAGTAACATCAACTTGCTCCTTTACTGATTGGTCACGCGCCCCTCGCCCCCGAGCTGCGTGCCTCAAGGGCTCCGCATTCAGATGAGGATTTGCCACACACCGCCCCCTGACGCCGCGCCGGTCTCGGTCCCGACCCTTCCTAGTCCCTGATCTCCTCCAGAGGGCGGTGTGTAGTTTACGCACGGTCCCTAAGACCGTCCGCGATAACGCGTGTTGTGATGGCGCACAATGTCAGTTGGTATTAATCTGGAGGCTCAGCCTCCCTCCTCCTCTCAGCCTCTTCATCCTCCGCCCCGTGCCGACCAGCACGCAGACCCATCCCTAAACACACACAGGGCGCCCCTCTGCTGCCTCTCATCCCCCTCAACCCCCTCCTCTCTCCCCCTTTACCCCGCGCGCGCACGTGCAAGACTCGACATCCGGACAATTTGCCAGTCCCCTGGCTGCAAATCCGCGACGTTCCAGGATTTACCGTTTATCCGAGGCGATTTCGCTCGCACGCGCAGTGGCTATGGTACCTCCCCGCCGCTCCTCGTGTCGGCCACGGTCACTAGGGGGCGAGGGGGGGAGGGGGTCGAAAAAAGCACGAGGGGCCAAACTGCCACGCTGGAATGCGCGCAAACATTTGTGTGCACAGTTGTCTACCAGTACAGCGGCAGCGGAGCGGGGCGCGGCGCGCGGCAGGGTTGGAGTGGGAGGAGGGGGAAGGAGAGGGGGGGGGGCATTTGACCCGCAGGAGAGTAATAGTCCCCCGCTTAGATACCGTGACATAAATAAACGCGGAAGTTGCAGGGCGCGGGGGAGGTTAAAAGAGAGTGAAGAGGGGGGGGGGGGGGGCCCGCCGGGCTCCACCCGGGCCCCCGCAGCCCAGGGGGCGCGCGGCACGGACAGCCCTGAGATATGAGATGTGCCCCCGAGAGAGCCCCCCGAGGGCCGGGCGAACCAAAGGGTTGCCCCGGACTTGGCCCAACGCCCCGGTGCGCGCCACCCGGTGGCAGCAGAGGACCTCCGTGGCCAGCAGAGCAGACCACCGTAGAGCAATGGAACAACGACACAACCACCCGGAACGTAACCCAAACCAGTATGGAGGATTTCTCTGGGATCCCAGCGACGCTTATAGCAGCAGCCCCTACCGGCACCCGCCTGCCGCTGCCTCGCGAACATATCGCCGTGTAGCACTAGTCGTACTCGCAGGCCATCCCCCGCACCTGCTGTTGTTCAGACGAGCGTCTGCAGTGTCTCTCGTCGTCTGTTGCAGCGCGGACGGCGAGTACGTTGTGACCACCATGACCAAGGCCGTGCTGCACTACACGGGCAAGGTCCTGTGGACGCCCCCTGCCATCTTCAAGTCGTCGTGCGAGATTGATGTGCGCTACTTCCCGTTCGACCAGCAGACGTGCTTCATGAAGTTCGGCTCGTGGACCTACGACGGCTTCCAGGTAAAAAATATGGCCGGTTAGAGAAACTTTTCCAGTTGGCACTCTTGCTCATTTTACAACTGCTTAAGAAAGTTTACATGAACCATTTTTCGCCGAGAATGAAAGTCCGAAAAAGAGCGAGATCAGCAGGCAAACGGCAATTTAAAGCAGTCTCGCAATTTTAACATTTAAACGAAATATACGTGTAACATTTCTACAATTTAAAAAAAATAATTGGTTCATTGCTATGAAGTTTTTGCTGTTAATATGAAGCGGGACATGCAAACCAAACTAAAAACTGCAAATTTGCAAAAACCTCTGTTTAGATTGATCTGCAGCACATCAACCAGAAGGTGAACGAGAACATGGTCGAGGTCGGCATCGACCTCAAGGAGTACTACCCGTCCGTGGAGTGGGACATCCTGGGCGTGCCGGCCGAGCGCCACGAGCGCTACTACCCGTGCTGCAACGAGCCGTACCCCGGTGAGTGCGGGGTTGGTGATTGGAGGGCAAAGGGGTGGAAGGGGGGGAAGGGGGGGCGGTGCCGGGCGCTCGGTAAACAGGAGCCGACGCCCGGGACTTCACATTTAATTAACGTCCGAGGAACGGCGCGTTCGAAAACAAGCAACTCGAAACCCGACGGACGGCACGGGGTGGTGGGTGGGTGGGGTGGGGTATGCGGTAGGGCGGGGCCCCTCCACTGCGCGAAGGCTAGATCTATGCGGGCGCGACGAAGAAGACTAAACGCCCCGTCGAGCCGCCGCCTCGGACGCTGTCTGGCCGCACCGATGTAAATAAATAAAGGCTCGGTTTCCCTCATTATGCCCCCCCGAAAGACGTTTACGAGTCGCTAGTTATATCTCAGCCTGCCTTTCTCTTCACGTTCTCTTCTCCTCGGCTCCGTGCCCCCTTCCCCCGCCCTCCCCTTCCGCCCGGGTGCCTCTCTGATGAACTGTGATTGGCTGTATCACAACCAGCCTAGAGCCTTGCCCGCGGCGGCGCCCCGCCCGGCCACGCCCCGCGGTGCTTTCGGCTCTATTTAGCACCCCACAAAGTGAGATAATCTTTTATACCCGCTTGGAATTAGTTCATTTCATACTTGGCTCCGACAGCAACAGCATCTGGGAGGGCCCCGGAAAGATGGTTTTAAAAAAACACATCCCATTTTATCACGAGCACTAGACAGCGGAAAAAAGGGGGGCCCTTTCTTCTCATTCATTCGGACGAACGCTCAAGTCCGTAGAAGAAAAGGGCACAGCGCGTCCAGTCCATCAGGCATCAGGCTCGCGCTTCTCAGTCACGCTCTTGCAGACGAGTTACCATCATCACTCCCGTTGCTTGACCCATCGCATCGCATTCAGCTCAGAAACGCTCAATCGCCACGATGGACCATTCCGGCCGTGTATACACTGCAGAGTATACATAGTGTCCCATACATTGCAAAATGCTTGCAAAAGAATAGGTTTGTTTTGCAAACGATTTTCTTTGCAGCTTGAAGCAAAGAAGCAAAGAACTTTGAAGCATTGTTATACGCGAACTAGTTTTTCGCAAAGCTTGCAAACCATTTTTGCAATACGAACACACGGTTTGCAAGGAATCTTATCAAGGAATTTCTTTGACATACGCAAAAATAATTCTATACTGCTAAAGATCGTAAAATTCTTCGCAACGCTGGAAAGAAAATAGTTTCCAAGCAGTTGACAGTGTGGACTCCACGTACCGCCATGGTGAGTGGGTATGGTAGCCCACCCGCCCGCCCGCCTCCATGCAGTGCAGTTCAAGCAAAACAGAAATAAAATAAATTAAAAACAGTTACACGGGATCTATGGGACACCCTGTACATACCTTACATACCAGGAGCCCTCTTTCCTTCCGCTTTTCCGGCACCCCTACCGCCAGGCACCCTTACCGCCAATTAGAGACCCTCGGATGCGCAGGGCAGGGCCAGGCAGGGCGCGAAACCCACCCGCGGGAGAAAAGGCATTTTTCCGACGGAGCGCACCAGCGCCACAGCGCACAGCGCGAGTCTAAAGTCGGAAAGTTTCAGCACAAAGTTTTTCCTCAAAGTAAACGGCTCGTACCCGGACCGGCCCGGCCGCGCCTGCCGGGCGGAAAGTATATTTATTCTCAAGGTGGTGAAACAAGAGTGTGTGGCAAGACGACCCCGGATGATGGGTCGTGCCGCTGGGGCCGCCCCCGCCCCCGCCCCGACCCTACGCGCAGCCCGCGCTCTCGGAGGGCCACTCCTCACTTTTCCAACTCCATGGCGCTTCGCTGATTGCTCTCCTTTTCATTTGCTCTGGCGCGCAGAGCAGCAGCAGCGGCACCAGCGGAGGCTGCCTCTCCCCGCCGCTCTCCTCCTCCCCCTCCCTCAATTAGCCCGGTGTCAATACACGACAGCAATTGGGTCCTCCCGGCCCCGCGAAGGTGTCGCAATAACTCTTGCTCGGCTCGTCGCCTGTTGCAGACATCTTCTTCAACATCACCCTGCGCCGCAAAACGCTCTTCTACACCGTCAACCTGATCGTGCCGTGCGTCGGCATCAGCTACCTGACGGTGCTCGTCTTCTACCTGCCGGCCGACTCAGGCGAGAAGATCGCCCTCTGCATCAACATCCTGCTGTCGCAAACCATGTTCTTCCTGCTCATATCCGAAATCATACCGTCCACCTCGCTGGCGCTGCCGCTGCTCGGCAAGTACCTGCTCTTCACCATGTTCCTGGTGGGCGTGTCGGTCGTCATCACCATCATCGTGCTCAACGTGCACTACCGGAAGCCGTCCACGCACAAGATGGCCTCGTGGGTGCGGAAGCTCTTCATACGCTGGCTGCCCAAAGTGCTGCTCATGCGTGTGCCCGACACCATGCTGGCGGATCTCGTCGGCAACAGGTCAGTAGTGATATCCTCAAAATGAGTGTATGTGTGATGTGTGTGTCTTTTGTGTGTTTATTTCAAAACAAGTGATAATTATGAGTACACGCCAAAAACGCCGTCTTGGTTTTCAAGCAGTTCGGGTAAAAACAAGACGCTCCCGTGTATTTTCTCAATAAGAGTTGCTCGGCTGCTTGAAAACCAAGACGTCGTTTTATCCGTGTATCGATGTCTAAGCTGTTAAGGTTAAATCTTTGATGTCCAGTATAACAGACATTCTCCGGGAATGACAAGCAGTGTAGTAGGTGAAGGTGCGTGTGCTAACCCTTTGCAGGTGGTCGCAGCCCTGGGCTGGGCGGGCTGCACGGCGGGCCAGAGGTTTATGGTGGTTAGCCTTAATAGCCGCCAGATAAGACGTCTAGGGTTGCTCTGCTCACACCGACCCCCTTTGCCCAGGGCCAGAGCGTCATGACCTC